AGCGAGAGGCGGCTGGGATCAGCCAGAAGTGGCTCAAGTGCAACCTGGACACGGGCGCCTCGGTCACGGCCTTTCCCAAGAGGTACAGCGAGAAGCTGCTGGAGAGGGAGAACTACTTCAAGACGGCCTCGGGGGAGTTGATCAAGAACTATGGGCCGGTGAAGGTCTCAGGGTACGATGCCGGAGGAGTCAAACGGGTGCTGAATGGGCAGGCCACGGATGTCCACAAGGTGCTGATCAGCGCAGGTCGGCTACATCAGAAAGGGTACAGCACCTGGATGACCTCCGGAGGAGGAATGATCATCCCGAAGACGCACCCGGTCCATGAGCAGATGGAGGAGTTGATGGAGTGGGCCCTCAAGGAGCATGACAAGGGGCTTATCCCCTTGGTGGAGGAGAACGGGATCTACAACTTCTACCTGGAGTTGGAAGAGAAGGAGGAAGTGGCGGAGATGGTGGAGGTAGCCATGCTGGAGTCTTCGTCACCGGAGGCCGCATCGAGCGCCGAGGATCCAGTGCCGGCCGCATCAGGCTTGGGAGCCAGACCTAAGGCCACGGCAAAGGAGGAGGATAGAGATGAGGAGGAAGAAGACGACATCCCGCCATGGCAGAAGGAGTACGGTTGGAAGAAGAAGAGCGAGACGGTATGGGCGCTGGAGGACGAGGCTCCGGTCAGACCTGGAGGAGATGGCGCCGGAGAAGCTGTTGAGGAGTCGGTAGAGGCCAGAGCGGTGAATCCGGGCTGGAGTCCAGCCAATCCGTCTGCTCGTGAGAGAAAGGAGCATGAGGCGACCGGGCACGCGGTCTACAGGAGCTGGTGCGAAGAATGTATCAAAGCAAGAGGAGTGGTCCAAGTTCATCGGAAAGTGGATCATGGAGAAGATCGGCTGCCTACGGTGTGTTTGGACTACTTCTATATGAGCGAGGAGGAGGGAGCCAAGCCGAACCTGGTGGCGGTCGATCGGGACACGGGCATGGTGATGGCCACAGCGATCAACCAGAAAGGAGTGGTGGACTTGACGGCGCAGAAGGCGTTGACAAGGTTCCTGGAGATACTGGGCTACAGGGAGGTGGTCCTGAAATCGGATGGTGAAAGATCGCTGGTGAAGATGAAGATGGAGGCGGCAAAGCAGGCACGAGGAGTTTCCAGAGCGGTGCCGGAGGAATCGCCGCAAGGGGATGCAAGAGCCAATGGGCAAGCAGAGGTGGCCGTCAAAGAGGTCAAGTGGCGAATCAGGGCCATCCTTCTCACGCTGGCCAAGAAGTTTGAGGGTGGAGTACCTCAGGGACATCCGCTGACATACTGGGCACCCAGGTACGCGGCCGAGCAGATCAATCGGTTCAAGGTCGGCGAGGACGGAAGGACCCCGGACGAGAGAAGGACTGGAAAGAAGTGGGTGAAGCCGATGCCGCTCTTCGGCGAAAAGATCCTGGTCAAGCCAGCTGGAAAAGGGCGGCGAGGAGACCTGGAGAAGATGAAGGCGGACCCACAACAGGTTTGGGTCGGTGCTGGCAATGACCGATCAGGGGGTCATCGTAGGCACTGGACACCATGCCCTACCTGCAGAAGAGAAGTGGGGCAAGGTAGAAGAAGGGATGAGAGGAGTCCCTTGGGACGTGAAGAAGTACGTTGAGTTGGAGCCGCAGCCAAAGCCACAGCAAGAGCAACTGCCAGCGCCGCCGGTCGTGATCGTTGGGGGTAGTCCCGGACCTGGAGGAGAGGTGCGGGCAGCTCGGGCGGAGGAGGCCTCCAGAATCGCGACCCGCCGCGGCAGGTGAGGAGACCCCAGCCCCAGGCACGCCAGGAAGAGGCAAGGCCTGGCCTGTGAGAAGGGAGATGTTGAACAAGTACGGAAAGACGCCTGGGTGTGGCGGGTGCATCTCCATCATAGGAGGCACCCAGCAGGTTGGGCATTCGGAGGAGTGCCGGCTGAGGATCCTGAAGAGGATCAAGGATGATGACGAGGCGGACCAAGAGAAGAGAAGGAAGCAACGCCTAGAGGATGAGGCAGAAGAGAAGAGAAGGTCACAGAAGAGGGCCGCATCTAAGGAGGCAAGAGATGAGCGGGAACAGCCCGCGGCAATGGAGGAGCCTGGTTCGAGTAGAGACGGGCAGACCTCGCCAAAGAGGAAGGGCGGATCCGTGGACATCGAGGATCTGCTCAAGGAGGTAGAAGAGGAAGATGCGGGCCCTGGAGGCGCAGTGAGAGACGCAGCGATCAACATGCTGGCTGAGGAGGTTGGCAGCCGCGGTGCAGCGGAGTTGGTTGCGGACATCGGGGCATTGGATGTGGTGGAGATATTCTCACCCAAGAGGGTGACGCTGGAACTGCAGCGATTTGGCTTGCGAGATGGAGTGGCGGTGGATTTGGATGAGATGAAGCCGTGTGGAATGGCGAGATGGGACATGGACAAGGAGGCGGACTTCAAGAAGGTCTGCAACATGATCAAGGAGGAGAAACCGCTGCTGCTGACGAGCTCTCCCCCCTGCACAACCTTC